AACATTTGAGCTGATATAAGAATAAAGAGAAAATGCATCATCAAAAATGCGAAAACATACGTCAATGTCTGATCGATGACACATCTAAACACCATCAGACGTATAAATGATCACGACTTTATGTTATCCATTTTTGCGACAATCAATAGTTGTTTTTTTTTCTATTGTGTCTAATTATCCTATGTACGTGCAGCTATTAATAGATCCTTTTTTCCTCCTACACTGGCAAGTGGGACAATATGATGCCATAGAAGTTAGAAAAACAATTAAAAAAGCTATACGATTGGCTATACCAGTTGTCATCAAAATGTTGAAAATAAAATTAAGAAAAAAAAAAACAACTCGAAAAGGATTATTTCGCCGATGAAAAAACCTTCAAAAAAAATAAAAATTAAGAAAATTGATATCGCAAAAAATTAATATTACGAAAAAATACATCTGGAGAAAAACGAAGACAATTATCGAAAGAGAAAATTTTTTAATCAAAAGCAAAGAGAAATATTTACCAAAACAATTTGAAATAGTCTACAGCATACCAATATGAATCTAGTCAATTGAAAATATTTTGAGTGTACTTGATATTTTTTTTTTTAATGAAACTTAATGACAATAAAGCAAGAATGTAAAAAAACAAATTATTTGACAATTAGTTAGAAAAATAATGATATTTTTTGTGTCAACCAACAGAAACAGTCCTTCTAGTACATCATCGAAATTGATTTTATTTGGATTTAATAGAAAATCAAGTGAACGAATTTACTTTTGAAATATAAAATGCATCTCAGATTATGACATAACATATTTTCGTAATGTATGTCTTTTCTTTTTTTTTGCAGATGTAATTGTCAGTCAAACAAAAACATCTATGTTATTAGTCATGAGAAATGAAAGTCTAAATGATTCATTTGAATCAGGTTATGACATGTCTCCTATGTAATAAAATAGTAGAAAAAAAAACAGCAGGATGTAAGAAAAGATTATGTTCATAGATAAATGAGAGATGAATCAATAGTAATAGTTTATGTGGTACAAACGGTATACAATGATAAAAATAAAAGAAATAATCATTTATCAGTGCGGAATTTCAATAATGGCAGAGAAAAAATCGAAGAAAAACATACTATCAGAATATTTATATGAATGAAATTACGCAATGAAAATGCATAATTTGAGATTTCACAGTATTTGAAAATAACATTTCTATTTCGATTATTTACTATTTTAAAATTTTTATCATAACTTATTTATACTCGATAACTTACCCTCATGCATATTTAGAAAACAATGATTATCGTTATGATTATGACGTGTCGTTTGTCTCATGTGAACTGAATGAAGATTGCTGAATGAATGTGAATTCACCATGTTTTTCTTATTTCTTTCTCTCTCTTTCTTTCTTTCTTTCTTTGTATCTTTCTTTTTTAGGTATCTCACTTGCTTTTTTTTTTATCGACAAGAATAGTCAGGCGCAACAAGCACGAGTAGTAGAATGAAAGAGAGAAAGAAAAAGCATGTGTGAGCAAACGAATACGGTGGGCGATAATTAGGTGACGAGCACGAGCACTTGCTTGACGTAGTTGTTTTTGTTGGTGATGTAAACGACGTAAAAAGAACACATACGCACAACAGAACAATGGGAAAGCAAATGATAAAAGGAAAAAAAAACTAATGTTCTTTTTCCATCGAATATTACAAATCACCTGATTCAACGAATGACATGAAAACTGACAAAAAGAAAAACAAGTCAGGCTATGTTGTTTATTCACAAGTCGTCATAATTGAAAATTGACAAATACTGTCCAATAACTCTTTCTTTTCTATCATTGAAATCTATCAACTAGACGATAATGTTTGTCATTAGTATAAGAAAAAGAAATAAAATACTCTTTTATAGACATATAAAAACCAGACTAGAGCATGTCTAATACAAATTTCATGGTTTTTTTAATTTCTTTTCATACACACATATGCCTACTATTGATGAAATATAATATAATAGAAATTAAGTAAAAAGAAGCCCACATGCTGATATTACAAGTTATGATATAGAGTACAATTTCATAATTACTGATCTTTACATCAAGATTACGATTTCGTCAGATAACCAATGAAGAAGTTTCTGTTAAATACTATTTTCATACATTGAGAATGATATTGATAAACATTTTTTGACATATAAACAACACTTGAATGCTTATGTTAGCGTTTGTTGCTGTACAAAACTTCTGTTCGTCAATGATTTTTCTTGATGATTAAAGATTCATCAAGAAATCTATTAATATAAATGATTGACCTTGGTAATTATCTTTAATTAATAGAATTCTCATAGGAAATGATTATTAAAGCAAAAAATTATAATTCATTTCCTGAACAAAAATTGGATTTAAGACAACTTAGATAATGATCTCTTCAGTGCAAGATCATGCTAAATAAAAAGAGTTAAGGTGACCTAGAAGAAGAATGTTTGTAGGTCGAATTAATGTTTGCTTTATAATTATTTATTTACTATTCTACAAACTTTTGAATAACATTCTTTTTACAATTTATTTCTAATCAAATTTCTGGTTTCCATATTTGAACTTTAATGAAATGATTACTGTAAAGTGTAGAATACACAAGGAAGTACATTTGTCTAAGGCTAATCAGAACGTGTTCTATAATGTTCATTTCACCAGAAAAATATATCCATAATTATAGATGATCATGTCTACTTAATGGACGTTGTTATGTCTACTTAATGAGAGACACATCATCTTCATAATATACTCGTTACGTTATTTCTGATAATAAAAATAATGAAGCCATTTGCGCATGAGCACATACGTACACATAATTATACGGAATTCTTTAACGAATAAATATATAGATGTTTCCAGAAAATAGACAATTGATTGACATCTGTTAAGTGAATCACTTAGGAATACAATGACCGTTTCATATATCTCGACCATAAAGGACAATAATGATAGGCATCCAAGTTAATTATTATAGTATTTTAGAGATCTTGATATTTATATAATAGACTTCATCTAGATAAAAGCATGGATATTCTATGATCCTAAATAATATTCTATTAGCGTATCAAGAATAAATAAATCATTATTTGAATCATGGTAGCCATAAAATTCCAGGGCAAAGACATTGTTCTATATTGAACTATAAGATATCGACCAACAAGAAAAAAAATTTTCTTTAAATAGATATTTGTAAATAATTTACATCGATATGTCTATTTAAGATATATTCATATAATTGTTACTAAAAAAAACTAATATCTATTCTTATCGAAATTATTTGTGCCATATGTATTTCTATTGACATTTATTTACGTATTTAACATCATATATTCAAATAGCTGTTTATCAACTTTTTTTTTTCTTTTATATTAAAGAAAAAAACAATATCTAGTTATTTGTATTATAAAATAATAAAATGAAAACTTACCAGAAATATTCTTATATTTATTTGTTATCATATTGGATACATTGCGTTGATGATAATATTTTAGAGTAGTTTTAGGACAACATAATGTATCATTTGTTCGTTCAACAACATACGATACATGATATACAAGGTTTTTTACAGAGAATATCATGACAAAGCAATAAACAAAAACGACGACGAATAAACAATATGAATGAAATGAACTAGAATAATGTTAGTTGACTAGAGGGGAAGTTAAAAGAAACATAAAAGAAGAAATGATTATTTTATGTTTTCGAGAAAGACAAATATAAGAATCGATTAAGCGGCGTGCATACTGTCGGCGTCATATTACCTTATTTTATCTTTCTTTCTTATATGAACGAGATCATTGTTTACCTCGATGTAACTGTGCATTCAATAAAATACGCATGTAAATTTTGACTATATATATATATATCCCTATCGAATATCTATATATTTTAGTTTATCTTTCTTCTTGATTATTTTTATTAGAAACTACGAAACATAATGGACGTCGTCGGATAACGATCATCATTTTACTTTGATATAGAGAAAAATACAGAGACAAGATTCATTTAACAATTCTTTTTCTTTTTTTCTATATTATATCTTAGTTAGAATTATATTTGTTGTGTTGATTTATATAATTAAGAACAAAAAAAAAAGATTTTTATAATTTTTTTAATTGTGGTAAACATAAATTATAAAATGAACTTGATACAAAATCATTTGGTACATTATACCATTTTAAATAACCTGATTCACGTAATTTATTTATTGATGTAAAACTGGGACCAGAATAATGAGGATCCTATAAAAGAAAACAAAACCGAATTATTCATATCACTATCTGTATTAACTAATTTAAATATTTACAAGTATTAAAAGTTGTTTATTCGATCGTACAGCAAGAATACATTTTGAAGCAGCATCAGCATCACCACCCATCATGACAGGTGAACCAAAGTCATGAAAATGTTTTGAAAGTAGATTCATATAGTCTAAAAGATTATAACCATTAGATATATGAATAATTTTACAATCAACCTAAATAAATTTGAATATTAAATAATATTTAAAAAAAAGTTTTCAAAAAATAATTTACATCATAAAGTTGACTAAGTATCATTGTTGCTTCACATGTACCGATCCATTGTTTAGACTTAGTAAATGATGGAGGTTTATCTTCAAGATCAACAAGAATTTCTTGAATTTTAGTTATAGAAGGAACTATAGAAGTTGCATATTCTTCTTTAACATTAATTATCCATGAACATAGTGTTTGTAATGTTCGATATCCACAACCCCAACCACGATCATCTTGTTCATCACATTTATAATGATAAAAATAGAGAGTACCACGTACAATATCGATAGTTTCATCAATTTCATCAAGAATTTGATCAATTTTAAGTAACATCTGAAATTATTGAACACTGTTTTTTTTCATAAATCTTCATAATCGCGCTTTCTATTTCTTTTTTTTTTCTTGACTTCATTGAATAATAATAATTTGTATATAAATAAATAAATAAATAATCATTTCAAATTTGATGTATTATGTAAATAAACAAATAACTAAAATATTTGAACGTTTGCTTAATTCACATTGTAAATATAATTCAATTAATAATTTAATATCATCATCAAGAAAATCTCGTATTTTATATCGAATTAATCAAGAAAAACTTAAGAAATATCATTCTCAATATAATTCAAAATATAATAATGAACATTTTATATCAAGAGAAAACACAAATTTCTATATTGAAGAAAAAACAAAAAATCCGATAATACCAACAATAAAAATCTTATCGAAAAGAATAATTAGTCAAAAGACAATAAGTACACAAACGGAATTTAATAAAAAAATTGATTTATCCACAGACGTGATTGATCAATCTGTAAATACTTTATCAATTATTCCCAAAAGTAAACAACCGATTATTTCTAAAAGACTTACAACTGTTTTTTTTTTCTATTCATGTTATAAATCTTTTAGACAGTTTTATTGATTTATTTTTTTTTAGTAAGAAGTAATTATTACAATGAAGAAGATACTGCACCAGTAAATTCCTTATCATCATCATTTTCCTCTTCGTCATCTAGTACTAATAAAACAACAATAAGAAATTCGAATTCATTGAGTACTCAATTAGATTTTTACAATGAATTAAATAGAAAAACAACACAAATGAAATTTAATTCGAACCAAATTCAGAACTCTGAATTTAATAATTATCCGTTTAAACCGCATTTAACAAATTGTCGTGTTTTTATTCGATCGATTGTTCGACATATGTTCAATGATGAGATATCTAATGATGAACGAAGATGAATCAATTGATATAATCTTTCAATAGATTTCGATATATAATTATCAAAAAGAAAACAATTTCTATTCGAATTAATAGATTTATCTAGGGATTCATAGATACCTATTCCTATTGTAGATTTGAAATTGGCTGGTATTGACTAGAATTCGAATTGAAATTGATTGAAATAAAAATGGTTTCCTTTGATGAAAGATAAAAATCCAGATTTTCGCCGATATTCGGTTACTGAGTAACTAGTAAAGTAGAACTCTGTGGAACGGTAAGTCTCTTATTGCTAACCAAAGCTAACTTCGACCAATTCCACGTGAATTCTATATCAATTTCGGTTAAGTGCAATCCCAATTCTAATGAACTGCAGTCAATTTTAGTTTCAATCCCAATCAATTTCAAGAATTGAAAATTTTTAGAATTGGAATTGATTTACCCATGAATTTATCAAATATTTTAACATATTATTCGAAGTCTACAAAAACAAAACAATCATGTTTTTTTTTAATTTTATAATTCAAGAATATAATCTTAATTATGGGTGGGGTGTGGATGGGCATAGAAAAGATTGTTGCACCCACACTCTCAACCACACGCTATCTTCTTTCAGATAACCATAGGAAAGTAAATTATCATATAAGAACAATGCTAATTTGAATATATTTTGTATGAAATCAACACATAATAAACTCTCTTCAGCGAATATTATATTTTTTTGAGAAAAACACTAATTAAAATTGATAAATAGTCATTCAATAGTAATCCGTAGACAGTACATCGTGCACATGAGTTTTTCTACACTAATCCTTAATTAATATATTATATATCTGGCGTTTTGTTTTATTTAAAAGTAATTTAATTGAACTGTTAATACTTTGAATTTTTTTTCTTTACGTCATCTATACAAATCAATCTTCAACTATACAGCAAACATTTTTAAATGAATAAAATCTACAATTGAAATGTCTCTTCTTTTCCTATACAACCAATGATAACATTTTAGATCTCGAGTAATATTTAATATAATCATAACTAAATGATTCTTCATCATTCATGTCTTTTTTTTTCTAGAATAAAACAAAGAATCTAATGAAAAACATGAATAAATCATGAAATAGTTTGTTTGTTTATTTTTCAACTATAAAATGAAACATTTCATACGAAATTATCATCATTAAAAAGAAGCCGTTCATTAGTATGACCCCATGAAGCTTGCTTTTCTTTACTTAATTGGATTTTTTTCACTAATAATTCGTTCATTTGTGGACCAATATCACTGGCAATCTTTGATAAAAAAAAAGTCAGAAATGATTATTAAATAAATTTCTTTTCTTTGTTTTTTTAATAAATAAAACATACTTTTGCCATTGAACGGATATTAAGTAAATCAAGACTGCCACCACCATCTTTATTCATATATACAATAGAACCCGACGATTTTATTCCATAAGTTATTCTAATAATGATAGAAATTGAAAAAAGAAGAAGAAAAAGAAAAATTATTATACCTTGCTAAAGTAACTGAATCTTCTTTAATTGTTGTATCAACAGTATGAACTCCATTTATCTAAATTAATTACATAAATAATAATTTGAATGTTTTTCGTATGACCGACTTACTTGTCCAACAGTAATAAGTACAGGTAAATTTGATACATCAAGAACACCATATTCATATGGATCGTCACAGACATCGACTGAAACTTCATTAGTTTCTTCATCATGAGTTACTTTTAAGGCTGGAACTCTAGATTAAATAAAATATCTTATTCTTAGAAATTCATGGTTTTTCATTTTGCTTTTATGATTTTTACTTTGTTTCACTTAAAGCAGCTTTCATGGCAAATGAACATGCATCATGAAGATTTCCTTCGTAGCGTAGAACCTTTTATGTGCAAATATTAGAAAAGAAATAAACAACAAATAAAAACAAATTTTCAATTCGAGATATTTTTTAATACATAAAAATCTAGCATATACTTCGAAAATTATTGCTTTATTAAAGTAAAAAGATTTGTCTTGAATATGAATATTTTGAAAACTATAATGTAACATTGTGCTTGATATATCTAATTTTTTCTCTTAAGCTAAAGTATTAACTGATCTGTGACTACTAATAAGTATATTTATATATAATTAATATGATTTTATTTGTTGACTAAAATACTTTTGCAGATATCTAAACTGAATAAATAAATTTAGATTTTCACGATAACCTGAGAGGTATATTCATGATTTTACTTCACAAAAAAGTAGAAGAGTATGATATTTGAAAACTTAGCGAAGGTCAAACTTTTTTATCTCAAAATAATTATAATTTGAGACGAGCAAATAATATTTCACATAGTGTTCTTTTACGCCATAGTCATATTGCAAGAGCACAAAACTTTGACAAATATACATATGTAAAAACGTTTTTTACTAGTTAACTTTGTATCAGAAGTATTTACAGGTTAAAGTCAAATATTATTTTTCACTCTGTCCTGCTTCAGAGTTGAGTACGGTAGAATAGAACAGGGTCAGGCATTTATACCTTATTTTTAAATTTTCATCTTTAAAAAGAGCATTTTTTTTTTAATTTTCGGGCGTCCAAAATCAAAAATAGACTCCAGAGTATCATATCAATTGATAGTCAGAGTTTTCATCTATAGATGTAAATTCTAATGAAAATAAATAAAATGACTATTAAAAAACAACATTAACTCAAAAGATTAACTAATAAGTTCTATACCATTTGGTTCAGATGATGACAGTTACTATCAACTGTTGATCTTAATGATGCATCAAAAAATCGTCTCTATCTTGTCTTGCCATGATGACTCGACTTCATCTTATTCAAATTTTTATCCTTTCGAAATATGGAAATATTATTGCTTTCGAACTCGATTGAAAAATAGATTGAAGATAGTGTATCGGTTTTCGAGGGTATTCTGCTCTGTTCAATCCAATGAAGCATGGCAGGGTATGAAAATATTACCCTGTGAATATCTCTGACTTCGTATATCTGAATCAACTAAAGACTATCTGTTAATAAACAAATCTAACGAACGATTTTACATAATGCATTTATCTCAGCAAGAGAGATAATCGATAAAAGTTCGACTGATAGGTTTTTGAAAAATACTTACAGATATATCAACATGAACAAGCCAACAATGATGTCCTTTAACAACACATAATTGAGTTAAATCAAAACATTTTGGATTATTAAGTACATAATTAAGACTTCTAGCTATTTGTTTAGTATATTGTCTTCTATGTCTTCCAAATATTTTCAATGATCGACAACCACTTCTAAAATAAATAATAATATTCGCGCGTATTTAACCGAATTATTTTTCATAAAATAAAAACAAAAAACAAAATAATTAAAATGAGATTAAAAGAATATCGTATTCCTATTCCATTAAATCTGGATGAATATCGTCTTGGTCAACAATGGACAGAAATTGAATTACTTAAAGAAACTTTACAAACATGTTCAACATGTATAACAATTTATGAAAATATAAGTGAACAAGAACGTTTGGATATAATCAATGAAAAAATCCCTATAACATTAAAAACTAATATAACATCATCAACATTAATGACACATAAAAAATATAATATTAAAGATCAAACACCAAAATTTCTTGAATTATTTTTTCTTAAATCTAAAAATGATCTTATTCTAGATGAATATTCATGGGATAATTGGCCATATACATTAACAATTATTGAAAATATTGATTATTATATACGTATTATCATACAAAGTTATTATATAAATAATAATTTATCAATTATAAATAATAATTCACAATTATATTTTACACTTAATGATGAACAAATAAAATCTTTAAAAGATTATGAAATAATTAATATTGCTGAAAGATTAGATGAAAAAAAAGATTATCGATTAGATGAAGATCCAACAAGAAATTTATCAATAAAAAAGCCAAATATTTTACCATTACAATTAAATACAAAATGGTATGAAAATTGGCCAAATAATCAATCATCTATGTGTGTTTATAAATTAATTGAACTTAATATATTTAATGAAAATAATGATGAAAAATCATTTTTTACAAAAACAACAAATAAAATTTTAGTAAAAAAATATTTCATAAAATTTTTTTTTTATAAGGTGCCAGTAATGCAAAAGTCGAGTAAAATTTTTTTTTCAATTTTTTTATCATGGTTAGATAGAGCTCGCCGAGCTCTACAAAGCTGTCTTTTTCGATTTTTTTAAAAAGTCTTCATTGAAGAAAAATTTTCAAAAAGCTATCGAAAAAATTTTCAAAAAACTCGAATTTTTCTATACAAAAAAATCATCAAATTTTTAAGATATCGATGAATTTTTCAATACTGGTAAAGCGTGATGTTTTTTAANAAATTTGATGATTTTTTTATATAGAAAAATTCGAGTTTTTTGAAAATTTTTTCGATAGCTTTTTGAAAATTTTTCTTCAATGAAGACTTTTTAAAAAAATCGAAAAAGACAGCTTTGTAGAGCTCGGCGAGCTCTATCTAACCATGATAAAAAAATTGAAAAAAAAATTTTACTCGACTTTTGCATTACTGGCACCTTATATATATATGAAAATATCGAGTGTTGTTTTTCTTTCAAGTGGTCATCAATAATCAAAGCACAAAAAATGATTTATCATCGTTTTCATCAAAAAATGATTACTAATATTGATAAATGGATTGATAAAACATTTTCAGATATTTATGAAGAAGAAAAATTATTAAAGAAATATATTTCAGAGCAACAAATTCAATTACTAGATTTAAATAAACAACAATAATAAGATTTCCAATCACTTACCCATCAACAGTTGCTTCAATTCGACCTTCATTTGGTTTTTCTTGACTTGCACGACTAAATTCAAATGTCACACCAACCATAACTACGGTTCCACCCTAAGAAAATGTTTATTCTATTTTGTTTTTTTCTTTGTTGCAAAAATTTTATGAAAAAAAAAATCTTACTAATTTAAGAAGACATGAACCATTGGCAGTATTTATAACATCCGTAGCAAGTAATAATGGACGATAGGTCCGACAATTTCGACCATCATTTCGAAAATTTGACTAATTAAAAAATACACAATAAAGAATTTTCAAAATAAATTTATTCAATGATGAACTAATAAATTAAAAAAAAAATCTCTTTAGAGTTTTTATTTAATTTTTCTTTTGATTATGAGCTATAAAACAATCTTTTAGAAGTAATAGATGAATTAATTTAACCCTTTGGTTACGGGACACGTATATATACGTTTTGAACTTCGCTTAAAATATGGTTGCAAAATTTTATTTTCTTGATTAGACTATAAAAGTGCTCTCTGTTACTCTCATGTTGCCTCATCACCGTGACATCGAATAGCATTATTATGTATTGTATTTATTTACTTTCTTCTACATTCTGTTAACATAGATTTGTTGTGATATATTTCATCATAATAGTTCAGGGAGATTTTCCTTCTCTTTTCATTGTACTTTCTTTCTTGTTGAATGATGTTTTATGCTCTATGTTTCTGTCGTGACTTGTAATTGTTCAAGGAACGATTCTAGAACACTCACGATAGTTGGAAATACCTGCGCATCGCATGTGGAAATTTCTCAACATATTCCATGGGATTTTTCCAATGTGTTTACATATATCATGTTGGTTTTTCCCAACATTTGTAACGTTGGGCTTTGTATTATAGGCTGTTTGGAAGAATATCATAGTGTGAAACATTTCTGAATGCTTTTGTATGATCATAAAATTTAATTTAAGAATTTTGAAAAAACAATATTTTTCAAAAAAAACCCGTAAACAAAGGATTATAATAACAGTATTTTACTGTAGACAGAGATTAGAAAAAAGAATCTTTGATTACATATTTGTTAGGATAAGATATGGTGAGAAAAGAACACTATTACATGTTGAATGAAAGAAGAAATTAGTTTCCTGTTTAGTTAAAAATTCCTTCTACATCTCGTTTCACAATAGCTGATCACTTTGTTCACTTTTTCGTTTCTTTCTTAACCTTGAGAAATTGAAGACATAGAAGTAACTAAACAGGAATGGAATATAACTTTCTTATTACGTATGATAAATTCTATTAATATTATAATAATGATAGAAGATGCACTTTTGCACGAAAGTGCATTTTCTGATCCATGCTCTTATCAACGACATTTTGTCTGAATGTCGTTGATATGGTTCTAGGAAAAATCTTATAGAAGATTTAGGTTAATGAGTCGACTTTCTTCGATGGTTATAATTATTTTATTAATTTTTGGAACTGGTACCAGATATTTAGAGAAAACCAGAATAACGGAATTTTTATCTAAATTTTTATTGAGATATAGTTCTTGTAACATTGTAAATGGTCAGTAGATTTTTCAAAAAGAAAATTGTCTCAGAATCAATAAACTGTAAAAACTGAATATCTTAATCATTTAACATTGTGAATAGGATACATTTTTTCTCACTGAAACTTCTCCACTGTTCTAGTCACCATACGAAGTATATTTCAGTAAAATTTTAAATTGTAATTCTATTATTTTAGTTTTTGTATAAATATCTGGTGCAAGTCCGAAAAATCACTAACATTATCATAATTTTCAAAAAGTACTTTATCAGTTTAAAATATCTTGAGATTCTTCCTGAAAGATTATCTTCAATATATATAGACAAAAATATAATTGGATATGTCATGTATCAATTGATGATTTTCTTTTATTAGTTCTACATACATTTTAAAAATTAGTAAAATCTAATTAATACAAAAAGATCCTACCTGTATTCCATCAACAATAAATTTTCTTTCATCTTCACTTGCAATCGGTACTCGAGGCATTATCTTGAAAAAATGTACATTTATTGGAATAAAAATTCAAAAACATATATAAATAAATAATTTTTTTTTCTTCATTAGTTAGTTGGGTTCTAACTACACACAAAATACAACAGACAAAAAAGAAAGCAATGCATCAATTTATTTTGTGTTTTTATCAACGCATGAATAATTGTACATTATTTGAACATGTTTATGAAAAATCTCGATCAGGAAATAAAGCCGGTGCAATACATGTCCAAACATATAAAATCATACATATCCAACTCGAGACTATTTTAACCCAAAGTGATGCTAAATTATTATTATATGTACTAAAATCTTTTGCTGGTCGATACCAACTAGAAGATAAATGAAAAATTAAAATTAAAAAAATGTCAAAAAAAAAAAAAAAAAAGAATAAAATTCTCTTTACTTAGTTAATGTCATCATTGCATATAATGTTGCAAGTACAAACATAAAATGAAATAAAGAATAATTATATGTTACTGAACCATGTTCATCATCATAAACATGTTGATGATCTTTTTCTTCGTCATTATCTAATGATAATCGACTATCTGTTGCAGATGTATCATCTAATATTGTTGAATAATCTGATGATGATGATGATAAAAATAATTTATTTGCACGATTATTACGTGATGTTGTAAAAACTGAATAGAACAGTGCACCACCAAACATAATTAAACCAATTATAGTTATTGGATCAAATATATTTTGTTGTCTTGTTGGACCTGGACTTGGTGTTGTTGAATTTGTTGGATGAATTATTGTACGAATACTTGGATTACAATGTGGATCTGGATTATTACTCATTGCTGACCTAAGCATTACAACAAAAAAAAACAAAACAACAAATATTTTGTATAAAATCGAATAAATAAAAAAATTAAATGAACGAACCATGTATAATAAGTAACATAAAGAGTAACGAATGATGATTGAAGTAAACCACATGATGGATTATGTTCTTTTATTTGAGGTAATATTGATATTATTGATAAGATAAAACATAAACATAAGTTAAATGATATAAAGAATGTATGTAAACGACAAAGATTCTGATCCGGAGCATAATAAATATAAAAAAGAACAATACCAGTTATTGATAATCCATAAAATAATACTGTAAAAAATATTAAACCATAAAGATGTTTTTTTGAACCAGATTCAACACTTTCAATCCATGATTCATTCCATCTAAACATAATTAAGTTTATTTTTGTTATTAATCTAGAAATTATTTCAAAACTTACGAATGAACAAAATCAATTGATAATAACAATTGAACAAGAATAAACTAAATTTAAAAAAAAAGCAAAGTCAATATTTTTCTTAATTAAACAAACATTTTCTTTGATTTACCAAAAATCCTCCAATTAATCCAATAACCATAAATGCTTGAGCAAAACCATCATTCGGAATAAAAAAAGCAGCAACTGCTAAACCAAGAAGTAGTAATAATTTAAAACCCCAAAATCCATTTTGAATTTTTGCTCGAAAATCTTTTGATGTTTTAACATTAATCATCTATAAATTAATACATATATATATATTCATAATTACTTAGTTATTGTAATAAAATATACTTACAATTAATGATAAAAGAAAAAAGAAACTTGCCATTCCAAATGAAAGTCGATAAACAGCTAAAAATCCAACGATTTTTGAACAATCGATTGATGGTATTGATGGCATTGATGGTATAGGTATATTTGTTAATTTTGAACCACCAGAACATAATGCTGGAATTTTTGCCAAAGTTTTTTCAAGACCAGGTATTAACATTATACATGATGTTATTAAACCAGCAAGAAGTATCAGACCATAACCAATACGTGTTGATGTTGAACCTTTGCATGATGGACATGCAGCACAACACAATGAACAAAATGCATTACCAAAGCAACATGCTACTGATGAGCCTAAAGAACCAATGCACAGACCCATTGTGAAAGATGAATTTTGCAGAAAAATATATGCAGATCTAGAAGAAAAAAAAAAGATACGATCAAAATTATTTTCGAGATTAATAATGCGGGTAAATAATAAAATAATAGTTGTATTATTGAGATGTCCATTGATATATTAAGGAAGAGTAACAAGATCATCAGTGGATCGATAACAGATAGATTTGATTGTTATTATCTAAAACATAATATTCAATTTGTTTATCATTAAATTTAACAAAAACAAAATTTTTAAAATAAAATTAAAAACTAATTAGAACAAAACTTTCTTATAATTAACAAGATATGCCAAAAGAATCAGCTTAACTATAAAAAAATTAGTGAACACACAAAAACAAAGTAAACATATACAAATAACAATATCCTCTTTAATTATATGACAATGTTTTCAACATCATGCTTATATTTATAACTTTTTGTTATTCTTTTCTCTTTTATAAAACGTTAATAGACACACATAAACATAAAGACAAAAAAAAAAACAATGAATATAAATTTTTTTTTATACAAGAAAATAATCTATAAAACATATAATTACCAATGCAAACAAAAACAAAACTATTTATATAATTATCTACATTACATTCTATATATAATATCTGACTTATCTCATTTAACAATTATTTTCTTTTTTTTATCTCATAAAATAAATGAACAAGAAATAACAAAATATCTGATTTTCTAATCGACTAGAATTATACAATAATAATAACATCATTGATTTGTTGTTGTTGTTGTTCTTCTTCATCATTTTGTTGTTGTTTTAATAATGTTGATGACCAAGAGAAATGATTTAAGAGATCACGAAAAGGTCGATTATTCATTATTGATGATACAAATTCTGATCGTTTTTCATAAACATTAACCTTAGAAAAAAAATTCAAATTAAAAAAAAGATTTTTTTTATATTAATCAAAATTAATTTACAAATAAATCCATTGAAATATTATGTATTTGAATTGAATAAATTTCATCAATCGGTACTGATGATGATCGATTAGATGAATTTGATAATGATTCTGAAAGTACTTCATAAAAAGGTTTCATCCATTGTTGACACATTGAAAGATCATCATCAGTTAAACCTAATATAATTTACTTAAAAAAAATAAATAAATAAAATTTTTATTTTACCTGTTATTTGTTGTACAGGCCAATTTGATTTATATAAAAGAATACTCGAAGCTGCAAGAATATGTTTCGAATATTGACTATATTCAATATCAAGTGAACATAAATCAAGTAACTAAACAAATAATTTTTGTTTTAACTTTAAAATTAATCAAATATAATTTACTCGAGCAGCTAAAGAAAATATTTGAAGAAAATCTGTTGATCGATGTACATTAGTTAATATTGAACTTCGAAGAATTTCACTGTTTGATAATGATAATCGTCGTTTTTTTCTTAGAGAACGATTATTATTATTATTATTTAAAAAGCTTTTCATATCATATTCCACTTGAAGATAAATTAATACCCAACTTATTGATGTTATTGGATTTATATACCAATTTAATGCCTTTATATTTATAAATTAAATTTATTTGAAAATAAAAGAAAATATGTTTCTTACATTCATTAAATCTAATTCCATATCTAAAATATCTTCTTCCGAACAAGTATTATCAGTAACATAAGAAAAATCAGATAATCGTGGTGGATAAATTTCCTTAAAAGTTTTATTTAACAAAAAGAAAAAGGAAATAAAACTTTAGAGAAATTTTCTTCTTACTTCTATTTTTGCTGCAACAAAAAGTGATGTTATACCAAGTAATTGAAATTTATTTTTAGGTAAATTATTTGTATTACATAAATATTGATCAATATAAGCAATAGATAAATGATAAGTTTCACGATGAAGTTGATAAACTTCACTAACCTTTAAAATAGAAAACAAAAAAAAGATTTATTTAAATTATTTTTGAAGATTTTTTTTTTTACTTCAATTAACCAATCGAATAAAACACTTCGCATTTTAGTTGTAATCAATGGATGAGAATCAAGAAAATTTAAATGACATTTATATGTTTTATCAAGTGTTTTTATCATCATATTTGACCATAATTGATGAGATTGATACCATGGTATATCAATAGAATTTTCTTTATTAACAATGATTAATGAAGAATGTTTCGTCAATACCATTTCTAAATTTTAATTATTTATTTAATAAAATTTCAATAATGAAAAACATGATATGACAATGTATTGGTGAATTATCATTAAGTTCAATTTCAAGCGATGTTTTTTCTGTAAATTTTTTTATATATTTTATTGTTAAACCGAACAAATAATGATGAAGGAGAATGTCTGATTGACTCCTTAGAACTAAGACTCAAATGTATTATATTCTATTGATAGATATATTTCGGTAGTTCTTAGTTTCAATATAATAGATATAAACGTTATTTTCATCATAGATTAACCCTTTCAGGCCCATGGCTCAGCCAATGGATGAAATGTCTTTGAGACTTTATATTTAATGCGGACAGTGTGTGTTGTCGATATTTTCATCAAAACTTTTTAAAAATCTTTCAAGTCATTTTCGACCCATACCCGTATCCCCCTACGGGGATGTCAAGAACTATTTTGCCCATCCCCGTGGGGGAGTACGGGTGTGGGTCAAAAACTACCTGAGCGACCTCATTAGAGTTATAAATCTGATATAGATATATGCGCCGAAGTCTCTTCTATGTCGTAATGAAAACCGCTTCTCGATATCTTTTTGCATTCGCGAGTTATTCAAAGATTACGAAAATTGAAAAAACCGTACTATATTTAGTACAGTGGGCCGGAAAGGGTTAATTAAAATCTATCGACAGCTTTTTTTTTTTATTTATTCTAGAATTTTCTATTTGATAGCATATTGAAAGTGAAACAGTTACTAGTTGAACACATTGTACGAGTATATACAGTAGCATTCTACCAACGACAGAATACTTCCAAATCATATTTTTGATATTAGATATAGAGTTTATGGTTAGAACAAATTTACGTAGATATATATAAAAGATACAAAAATAAACGTTTATAATGCAAATAAAAATCTAATATGAAGATACAAAGTGCTGATAGACCATGTGAAATTTCTTTTTATGAATATATTCTTAAACAAAATTTGTTAATAGATCATTTCATATTTCATTGGGCACATTTTCTAGTTAAGCATATTATATTGAATAAATCAATTGTCGCGTTCAAAACATGAACAAGGAAATGTGGCCAATAAAACATCGAATTACCTATTAATAAATATTATTCAAGAATGTGCCAGAAAAAGAGTCAGATAGTCTATCAACACATTGTTTATTCGTATTAAATTTTTATTTATATTATATATGCTTGTTTGTTATTATTTGATATTACTATTTTTTTAATTCCACGATATGACTGACGAAATATTGAAATAATTTTTTTTTGATTTATACAAAAATTTATTCAGCTGAGTGTTATATTTTTATACTATGCTAAAAATTATTTTAAATATTTATCCAAAAAAAAAAAAAGCATTCTTTTAATTGATATTATCTAAATAATAACAAATAATGAATAAAAAAAAGTAATATTAAATAATTTTATTTATAAACAAAAGTATTAATTCTTGTAATTTAATATCTTACCAGATTGAATTCGTTTAATAATATTTTCTTTATCACCATCATATCGTTGTAACTAAATGAAAGAGAAAAAAAAACAAAGAATGTAAATTATTTTCATTATTATTCTAAACCAATAATTTTTTCTTTTCCCACTTTGAATCGTACACGTTTTCGTCGATTCATTTGACCGAGCGCATACATATGAACTGACATGAATACAAACTAACAATTTCTTTCCTTGCTCGTTCTCGATTCTTTTTCTCTTTCCTCTATTTTTCTCAAAAAGATTAGAAAAAAAAAAAAGAGAAACGATAAGCTACCTGCTAATTGAAATTGTTCTTTACGATGTTTTGTTCGACGGAAAAAGTAAAAATAAAACAAAACAAAACAAAAACGAACAAATCATCGAAGTACAAAGCAGCGAACATGATGCACATAACTAGGCAAGACCTAGTTTTTCACAATATAATAAGATTAAAAAAGGTCCTGTATAGATTGTGCAACACCTTCAGCAGCATGAATAGCATCTGTATTCTATCTATATTATACTTTTCTTTTTTTAAAGAAATCATTCATTTATATAGGATGAGAAATATTTTGAAGAAATATAGTCAGTTGTTCACTGATAAATGAACCAAAAAAAAAAGAATATGATATGATCACTTGCATTTTATGCACATTAAATAGATGGTAACAACTGACTCTTAATACATACAACAGGTGGGTTACTACTAATGAGAAGAGAAAATTGTGACTTTGAAAAAAAAAACGATAGGTATAGTTTAAAAAGAAGTCTTTGTCTGATCTTGTTTTTTATTCTACTTGAATACTTTATACTGTCAATGAATAATGAAAAAAATTCAATTTAAAATCATATACGAGTATGTAACAAGGAAAAGATTGAACTGAGTTGACATGAAAAATATATAGCATTGAAAAAGAAACTAAGAACCAATAACAACTTAGGTATGAAGAAAAGAACTTTCACATGAGTTTTTGGAATTAATCTCTTAGTATAATTAAAATAAAATAATTTCTTACATTCATTTTAGTTGTTTTAACTTTTCGTTCATCAATCACTGAAGGATCAGGCTAAAAAATATAAAATATTAATTAGAAAATAGATTAAACTAACGTTTTCCCTACCGAGACAGATCTTTTTAAACCACGTGTTTTTGTTTTACTATCACCATGATTGTTATTAACCATAATTGACGGCAATAGTTTATCTGAAACACACTAAATTAAGTTCCAAATTTTTTTTAAAAATCTTTCTTTCATCGTCATCAGATTACTAAAGAATTTTCATTGTTTTAGAAAAGAATTTCTTTTTTTATTTAATTTTAGTATGTTTGCTTCTATTTTGCATCTGAGCATTGCATCAAAGGCTTAAAGCAATGCAGTAACAAATAATTTAGCAAAAAAAGCATTTTTTTTTTCTATTTGCATGGCCTTACAATGGCTTATTAGTTAGTTTCACAGATAGCCATCAAGATTTCATGCAGATTATACAACACAACTCAATTCGCTTGTATTCATCATATGACGATATGAAAAAAAAAAGGAATTAATTCATTAGCAATTTATTGAAAAAAACATTCGAAGAAAAAGAACTCTTTTCGAAAGAAAAAATAATATGTTTAGAAGAATCTAATACAAGTCTAAAATAAAAAATTTATCGAGTCGTTAACCGTTTAATATAAACCGACGAAATAACCAAGTGAATGACGATTGTCATCCAATCTATTTATTTGTTTTTTCAATCTTTGTTCCGCAAAACAAGTTTGAAAACTATTGGCCAAAAACTAATGTTGCTGATTTGGTCATAGATGGCACTAATAGTCGATAATGAATGTATGCAGTACATCGAGCAAATGAAACTGAAATCTCGACATTAGTTTAAACAGTTTTCTCATTGAACATCTTCATAGGGAGAGTCTTATTTCATGTACGTTGTTTGTTTTTTATTGCAGGTGACTCTAAGAAAAATAATCGATGATTGTTTTTCTAATATTAAGTTCATTATAAATAGATAGATTTTCTAGAGTTTATTTACAAATGAAACTTACTGTTACAATTTTTATTTATATCTAGAATAATTAGGAACATTCAATTTCAATGAGTTTTCATTTACATGCCATCTTATGCACAATGAAGTAATAATTAAGACACGCTTGTTTTGTTCAAGCTTGTTGCTTGCTTATAAAATTTATTTCTATAAGCTGGGTGAATTTTCAGAGAAAACTCTAAAGGAGACATGTTGACATATATTATTATAAGGTCTCTGTTGAAGTATGTCAACATGTTTTTAAAAAACTCTGTCGTTTGTTCTACTCTCTAAACATACGCATCGAAAGTCATATTTTCTCTTGCGATGATCTTAAGAATGGAAAATCAGGAAATATTCGTTCGAATACAAGAATGAAATAGCAAGACCACATCTAAGAAATTTCTTTTTTGATCTTTCATACAATGTTTCGTATGTTTATATAGCTCCTCGACAATGCAAAATTTTGTTAAGTTGTTTTATTTTTTTGACTATGCAAATTATTTAAAAAGATATCAGCATAAAAGATAGCCGTTACTTTATTTCATCAACTGCAGTGATGCATTACTGCTGATGATAGATAATGAATTGCATAGGCAATTAAATAACAAACCATTAGTATTCTTTAGAAACATGCTGGTATGTACTAATAGAGTTCTCGTAAGAGAAAGTTCGTGTGGAAATCAAGTATCGTGTTAGAGAGGCACCACATGGTCCAAATTGACATTCAAGTCTAACTATGTCTATTCGATACCCCATATCAAGTAACCTCTATGGCAAAAGTTTTTGGACCAAACAAATCACTTTTTATCGAGATATGAGATATTCGAGAAACTCAGAGAATTGGTACTTTACTTCTTTCTCAACCATATTGCGGTCAATATTCTTTCGTAACATCTCATTTGATGAAGCAAAAAAAACTGAGTTTTAGAGGTTTTTATAAAAATTGTGGTGTTAGAATTTCTGTGCCACAAATGGTCTGAGACTATCTTGTAGAGAGTTTATTTCCCTATAAAATGCACCAATAGTTGGAATTTTTGAAAGACAGACAAAGTGCTCAAAAATGAAAATTACTGGCAAAGCCCGCTAAGGTCAAAAAACTTATTAGTGCAGTCCCTATGGGGCTAAAATATGGAACTTACATAGTTTCTTTAGCCTGATCATACTGATATAAAAAATGTAAAGTGAAAAAACTGTACCATATTACAGTTGTTTTTCAACATCGTCAATTGGCAGAAACATAATCTATTTTGTTTCTTCTTGATAAGCATTTTTTGCATTCTTTTGAGACACTCTATTCTTGTTTCTATTCGCTCATTATTTTTATTTTTCGCATTTTTTCGCGTTCTGCTTTTTAATTTAATTGTATTATCATTGTAATCATTGCTTCAACCGGCAAATATGTCTCTTACACATATATAATTTACCTACAGCAAGTATCAATGAACTTTTATATATCTCGATTAACTCAGAACACTGGCACAGAGTTTTTTTTTCAAACTAATAACTTGATCAATAGATCACTTCTCATAGTTGCTGACGTCTCAAATATAAATTTCCATCTGAGCAAAAATCCCAAACTGAGCTACTAGAAATATTAGCATATAAATTTTATTGATTTAAATTTTGACAATACTCTGGCATATGCTAGCGCAGTCAGAGTTTTTTTTTAATCTTGTGCACTATTTTTTTGTGAAACTCACCTATATGTTTTCGAAGAAAATAGTGAGTGTAAGTTTTAAGGTGAGGTTTTTGCGGCTCGCCCCCTTCTCATTAAAGAGACTTAGCAACGGAACCACCCACCCCCGTTGCAGGCCTTAGCAATCGGCAATAATAGGCGTTAGATTTTCAAGAGTGTTTTCTTTTAAATTGATCAAGTTATAATTTTGAAAAATAATGAACATCATGATTTGGAAGTTAGTTAATATATATGATAGTGTGTAAGATCTGCTGTAGACATCATGAATGTGTAAAACAGACTTATTTGTCAATTATTTCAATGATCATAATAATAAGAATGTGAAATTAAGAAAAATGAATTGAAAAATAATGAGCGGATATCAACAATGAAAACAAAAGATAGAGCGCCCGTAAAAAGAAATAAAATCCTCTTCGAAATGCAGAAATTAGAGAGGTTCTTATTTCAGTGATGGATTATCCTGCAAAATAATTATAATCTACGAGGGTTTTTTCACTTCACGTTTTTTGTATTGGTTTAATGAGCCTAGAAAGTATATGTGAATTCCATAAAATTTGAAATTCCAAAAAATAATCTGTTCACTTTCCAATAATGGATACAGATTTTATTAAGGTTGCAAAAATAGAGAATCGGTTGCAGCGAGATTTTTCAATTGACTTGTGAAAGTACTGTATTTTCTCTGGAACATATCATTATAACACATCCGCATATCACGATGCATATCTGTCTTCTCTTCTGGTCGTCGTCTAATTCGTAGAAGTTGATCTTTGTAGTATTTGCTCGAGGCAATTATTTCTCTCTCAGCTTTTGTCGAGAACCACCTTGATATATCGAATTATTCAAATGTAACGCTGTTGCGTTATTGACACACTTTTTTCAATTATCTTCGAAACTATAAGAGCCAGAAAGTTTGTTCAAAATGCCATTCGACGCAGCTTGTCGAGCTCTATTTATGGCATGAAAATGAACTTTTTTGGTTGAAGTATCAAGTTTCCAGAAAGGCTTTTGAGTAACATAACGCTGTTACATAAAAAGACACTAAATTTGAAGTGCTTTTGCTTAAGATCTCGTTTTCTACGTAAGTCGATCTCCAAATAAAACGCGCTCAGAGAAAATTTTGCAGAGCATCAAAGAAGCTTTCCGACGGTAATAAAATGTTTTCCTGTAACTATGTTCATTCGTGTAAGAACAGCAAAAAAACAAACGTAACGCTGTTACACATTTTTCTTTGTACATTGATATCATTTTTTTTATTGGATCTATATTCGTCTGAATCAGTTCTTTTAACTTCTAAGCAGATGTTTCTGCAGTTCTAATTACTAAAAATCGCGTCGACACTTAAAGATACTTCTTAGATCTTTGCAAGACTTAGAGCTTCCTGCAGTAGTAAAGTATACTTCTGTTATAGGTCAGAAATACATTCATGATGGAACGTTTTGAACTGCGCAGTCTCTTTTTGATTTCGGACTCTGAGTATACTGTAGGTGCCATTAAAATATGAAAAACGTCAAAAAGATAAATGTCCTTAAGTCTTTAGCAGGAACTTATAGATATTTTGCTGCAATATTAGCTTATGAAAATGACATGATACATACCAAAAAATCGAACTACCGTATTTTGAGTTGAGACTATGCCCACATGCAGACATATTTGTCAGTCAAATGTCCTGAATACCGCAGCTTAAAAAAAAATTTTCTTCCTGAGACATTAAAATTGTCCCCCGAAAAAAAACAGAAAATTGTAGCATTTTTCGTGGGATATGAGTAATTTTTGAAACTTTGATATCTCAAGAAGGAAACATTTTTTTTCAGCTGAGGTAGTCAGAACATTTTACTTACAAATAGATCTGTTTGTGGGCATAATCTCAACTCAAAATACGGTAGTTCGATTTGTTGGTATGTTTCATGTCATAAGTTAAAATTGCAGTACAACGCCTATAAGTCCCTGCCAAAGACCTAAGGACAATTATCCTTTTGGGAGTTTTTCATATTTCAATAGAGTCTATATTATGCCCAGAGTCTGAATCCAAGAATGATTAGACAGTTCATAAAGTTCCCTCGATCTGTACAACTTACTATGGCTAAAGTTAATCATAGCCAGGAACATTGGAAATGAAACAAGAATTAGAGATTTTTAGAGAGATTTATCACTAGATAAATAAACCAAAGGGCAAAATCTGGTTTCAAATCTATTCAATTGCTATCTGACGTTTTTAATATTTGAATTATTGGCTAATGATATAAATTAAAGATAGTATCAAAAATCAAGTTTTTGTAACAGCATATCGTTCATCTATCTCAAGAGGCACTTTTTTTTGAAAAAAAGAGTAGTACGCCAGAAGCGCTTGAAAAAGTTAGTAATGGTGTAATAGCTTGTTTACTGGTATTCCGTAAGTGGCTCGCCGAAATTTTAAGATAAGGTCTTTTTCATAAGGCTGTTACAGCAAAATTGATCAAGTTTTAT